TCATTAATCCTTAAACTTGTTTACAGTATTACAGTTAAAATATTTAAAAATTAATAACTAATTAGTATCTTATAAAATCATATGTTATGAATCATAAATTATGATATTTAATATTTAAAAAAATATATATTTATTATTTACTAATTATAATACTTTATAATGCATGTATTATACGAATTTAATACCAAATAACTAAAAGTATATGTATATTAAAATATATTAATTATTTGTATGATTATTTTAAATTAAAAATAATATATGAAAAAAGTAATTTAAATTTAATTAGTTTTAATCAATATTGAACTTATTATTTATACATTTAGTGTCAATAATATGTTAAAAATCTATATTACCTGTATTAGTAATTAATTATTACTTAAAACTATATTTACTGTATTTATAATTATTATTTATGTATAATTATTAGTATAGTTAGTGTTTGTGTTTTTAATTAAAATTGATATTAAAATATCATAATATAATGATATATAAAAAATTAAGTAAATAAATACTTTTTTTTTATTTTTTACAAAATGTGAATTAAATCCGAAAAATAATAATTGTAAATATTTAAAATCTATATTAATATTATATAATCATATAGGTATTAACAAATAGATAAACAATAGACAAACAAATAAAACTTTACATTTATTAAATTGTTTTTTCTAAAAAATCTTTTCAATTCTAATTGATATAAAAAAGTTTTGCCACAATTATTGACATTAAATTTTAATTTGTTTAAAACAAATGGACAATATTTCGGTGTTGTTTTAAATGTTTGTTAATACCAAATGTTTTGCCGCAATCTTTATAATCACATTTGAATTCGGGTTCAATTGAATGATCCAATGATAGGTGTTGTCGTAAACAATGATTTGTTGTAAATGTTTTCAAACACTCAATGACTGAACACTTGAATCGTTTTTTATTTAAATGTTGTTTTTTATGTAAATGTAATTCACATTTTGTTGCAAATGTTTTATCGCAATAATCGACATTACATTTAAATGGTTTGCATTTTACATGAATATTCATTATATGTAACTTTAGAAATGATTTACGAGAATATTTTTTGCCGCAATCATTGATATCACAGACATATTGTTTATTAAAATGTTTGGCATTTCTGTGATTAAATAATCCGGTTTTACTAAAGAAAATTTTATTACAATTAGAATAATTGCAAAAATATTTAATATTTAAATGTTTAATATCTTTATGCAATTTAAGACCGTATTCAGTAACAAATGTTTGATTGCAATCATTAAAAACACATTTGAATTGCTTATAATTTGAATGACTTAATTGATGTCTTTGTAATTTATTTTTAGTTTTTGTTTTAAACCGACATTTAGGCCAAAAGCACTTGTATTGCTTGTTGTTATCCACACGTGTGTTGTTATTGTCATAATTGAGGTCACAATCGTTGATCAGATAATAATCAGTAATTTTCAATGAATTACAGTTATCTAATAAATTTAAGTTATTTTCATCACAATTAATCAATTCATATGTTTCACACAATTTGTCACTAATTTGTTGTAAACTATTTGCTAATGATTTCAATTGAATTAATTGATTTAAATTCATATTTAAATGTGTTTTGTTTTTGAATGTCTTCTCAATAATTACTTGAAAAAATGGTGATAACTTTCATCGCACATATATATCATGTATTTTGTCTTATATATCCACACATTCAAAGCACACACCAAACAAACAAACAGTCAGTCAAATACCTGTTTAGGGAAATGGATATACCTTTTCATATATATAAATATATCAATAACTTTATATTATTATTAATCCTTAAACCTGTTTATAGTATTAATGTAAAATGTAATGATATTTTAATTTGTCTAATAATATCTATTATAAATGTTTATAGATTAAAATATATATTGAATTTAAATCAATCTATCAAATCTATAATTTTATTTAATAATTTAGTTAATAATATAATAATATTAAGTTTAAATTTAATAACATGTATTTTTAATTATTTAAATATATTTATAATTTTTTTATGGTTATTTTAAAATATGAAAAAATATTATAAAAAAAACTTATTTTAGTACATTTAATTTCAATAATATGTCTAATATTTATCTGTAATAGTAGTAGTAATTATTTGTAAATGTTAATAATAAATTCATTTTTTATTTAATCACATTAATCGAAATCTAAAAAAAATATATATAATATTATTCAATAATTTATTATAAAAGTAAAAAATAACAATATTTATTATAAAATTATTTTATTATTATTATGTAATAATTTAAAATGTTTTTAATGAGATATAGTTTATTGTAATATATGTGTAGAGAAAAAAAAACATTTAGTAATATAATAAAAATATTTAACTAAAAGTTTATTATTTTAATGTTAAAAGTCTTTTTTAAAAAAATTAAGAAAATATTTATATTTACAATAAAAGTAATTAATTTATATATTTTTAATTTTTTAAAAATATTTCAATAGTTGTACAGCCATTAGATCTTTTTTAAAAATTTTATATATATTGAAAATGTTTTGACGCAATCATTTAGCAATTATTTTTTTAAAAAAATAATTTTCCTATTAATAACCAAATGTACAGCAAGTTTATGTCGTTGCAAATTTGATAAATTGCCAAATATTTTGTCACAATTATTATAATCACATTTGAATTCGGGTTCATTTGAATGATCCCATGACTGGTGTTGTCGTAAACAATGATTTGTTGTAAATGTTTTCAAACACTCTTTGACTGAACACTTGAATCGCTTTTCACTTATATGTTGTTTTTTATGTAAATCTAATTCACGTTTTGTCGAAAATGTTTTATTACAATAATCGACATTACATTTAAATCGCTTACATTTTAGATGACCATTTATTATATGTAATTTTAAAAATGATTTTTGAGTATATTTTTTCCCACAATCATTGATATTGCAAATAAATTTTTGATTAAAATGTTTGGCAATTATATGATATTGTAACCCGGATTTACTAATAAAAATTTTATTACAATCAGTATAATTTAAAGATGGGCAAATAGAAAGTTTCTAATAAATTTCACTGAGAAAGTTTCTAGAAAATTTCTCAGGAATAAATTTCTATAGAAATTTAACTTTATTGTTATACTATGGGATCCCCATATCTATAGCTATTGAAATAATATATAAATAATGAGACAATACTACTATTCATATAACATTACACTATACACTACTATACAAAATGCGATACCTATATGTAAAATAAATATAATTATTTAATAATAATCAGTTTTCTAAAATTTTAATAATCATTTTATTATATATATAAGAATTTAAGATAATTAAATAAATTAATTTTTATTTTAATTAATAATAAAAATATTAATATTTAATTATTACTTGTAAAACCAATGTATTGTTACATAATAACATATATCCAGAAAACAAAATTAACATAGGGATCCCATAGATAGAAATTTCTTTTAGAAACTTTCTAGAAATTTCTCTATTATTTTATAAATTTCTCTTTTTTGCCAACACTAGTATAATTACAAATATATTGAATATTTAAATGTTTGGATTTTTTATGAGATTCAAGTCCGTCTTCTGTTAAAAATGTTTGATTGCAATCATTATTATAATCACATTTTATTAGCTTATAATTTGTATGACTTAATTGATGTCTTTGTAAATTATGATCAAATTTTGTTTTAAACCGACATTTAGGCCAAAAGCACTTGAATTGATTGTTATTATTCAAACGTTTTTTGCTGTTGTTATCATCATAATTGAGATCACAATCGTTGTTAATATAATCAGTAATTTTCAATGAATTACAATTATCTAATAAATTCAATTTATTTTCACCACAATTAATCAATTTATATGTTTCGCACAATTTATCATTAATTTGTTGCAAACTATTTGCTAATGATTTCAATTGAATTAATTGATTTAAATTCATATTCAAATGTGTTGTTTGAATGATGTCTTCAATAATTACTTGAAAAATGACGATAACTTTTACATATAAAGTGTTTTGTCTTTTATATCACTTATTCAAAGCACACATCAAACAAACAGTCAGTCAAATACCTGTTTAGGAAATGGATATACTTTTTCATATAAATATAACTTATTATTAATCCTTAAACCTTTTTATTAAAAAGTATATTTTTATTATTATATAAATAAATATAATAGTTATAGTTATAATTTTATATAAATTATTAATTAATAAATAAATACTATAGTTATAATTTTTTTAAAATTTACATTGTTAATTATATTTTATTATTTAGATAATTATATTATATACTGTTTTAATTTTAATTATTATTATTATTTTAAATAAAACTCTACATTCAATTCAGTTATAATTATGAAATTAATCAATATTAAACTTATTTTTTTAAGTACATTTAATAATATAGATTTAATAATATCTATTTTATATAAATAACTATTTTTCATTACAAACAAATTCAAATAAAATAAATTTTTAAAAAATATTTTTTTAATCATTAATATCAAATGATTTCTCTATATATTTAAAGCAAAATTCATAAATTATAGTTTACTTATTTTGTTATATTAATTATATAAATATGTTTTTTTTATATATGAATATATTTTTTTAATTAATTAAATAAAATTATAATATTTAAAAAAATATTGTATACTAAATAATTTAATGTAAATATATTATATTTATTAATATTCAATTAAATCAATAAAAACAACAACAAAAATCATTTAGTTATTACAAGTAAATCATTTATCGTCCAAAAATTTAATATAAATTATTGATATAATTTAATCAAAAAAAATAAAATAAAAATAACATCAATATCTTATTCAAAATAAATTATTAAATGTCATTAAACATTAGTAGTAAATTTAATGTCAAAAAAAATAATTTATATTTCTATTGTTTGAAAATTTAATAAACATTTTTTTTAAAAATTATTACATTATTAAATAGTAATTATAATATTATAAATTTTTTCGGGTAAATTTTAAATGATAAATTAGTTAATAATAATCTTGATAATTTATGTATATTAATTAATTAAATCAAATCTAGTAATTGAAAAACGATCTTATCTTATCATAAGCTTTACGTAATAGACCATATTTTTTATATTTCAATTCAACCTGTCTCAATGTCGATTGCCATACAGTACCATTTAGCTCAAGTTCAACCCTACATCCATACCAGCCCTCTAATGCCTTTTGACTACCGGTAATATTTATACGCAAATTGTCTATAGTATTGATATCTATGATAACATTTTGTTGTCCAGGTAAATATTTATAATTTTTTATACCTATGCATTAATTAAATTTATTGATGGTATTAATTAAAATTAATAAATATTTTTTTTTAAATATTTTATAATTTTATTTAATTATTACATACATTGATTGTCAGTCTTATTGTTGTTATTGCTATTATATCTGATAAATGTTAATCCAATATCATTGGGAATCATGGATTTTGTCAATGAAATGTAGTTTACATTTATATTAGTGCCGGGAGTAAAATAACAATCCATAATAATGTCGTCGCCATCAGTAAACTGTTCGCCAGCCGACTGCTGTAGGTGTAGGGCATCGACAGCAAAGCTATATTGAGATACATCTAATAAAATAATAATAATAATAATAGTTTAATTATTATTATAATATAAATAGACTAATAATAATTATTATTATAATATAAATAGACTAATAATAATTATTATTATAATATAAATAGACTAATAATAATTATTATTATAATATAAATAGACTAATAATAATTATTATTATAATATAAATAGACTAATAATAATTATTATTATAATATAAATAGACTAATAATAATTGTAATAATTATTAATACTATTCATTGATACTGATTGCCTGACCACTAGTACAGTCATCATAATCACTGTAATAGCTATTGAAAAAGTCATTTTTTTTAAATATAACTTTTATATATATTATCTATATAACAGTTATTATCACATAACAGATAATCAATAGTTTTATAATATTTCAATTATTTAACACTAGTTTATATACTTTTTATGAAAATAACAAAAATAAATTTTTTTCGAAACAGACATTAATTTCCAGATAAATAATTAATTTTCATATATTTTATTTTCAAAAACATAAAATATATTTACCGTATTTTATATATAATGTATTAAAATGATAAATTACATCCTTTACTACTTTTAACTAATAACTATTAATAGTAAATATTTTTAAAAAATTATTTAATATCATAGGTTATGATTCATAGACAATAATTAATTAGTTTTATCTATTTTTTAATATAAATTATTAAAAAAAATATGTTTAGTTTCTGATTAATGTGGTTAATAAAAAAAAGTTGTTATTACTACAAAATTCATATATATTTCTTAATATTATTATTGATATTATTACTACAGCTATATTTTTAATAATAAATGTAGATTTTTTTACATAATTTAAAATAACTAATAAAATAATATTTTTATTTTTAAAAAAAATTAAATGTATTGTTAAACATTAATATTATTAGATTAGTAGCAAAATTATAATTATTGACAGATTTATAATAATTTATTCATTAATTTAATATATGTTAATCTATAATCTATTATAAAAATCAATTAATTAATAGATATTATTAGACAAAATAAAATATAAAAAACATGTATAAATTATATATATTATAATGATATATTCAGGTTTAATCGGATTAATAAATAATAATATTTACATAAAAAACAACATTTTAAGTGAAAAGCGATTCAAATGTTCAGTAAAAAAGTGTTTGAAAACATTTACAACAAATCATTGTTTACGACAACACCAGTCATGAGATCATCCAATTGAACCCGAATTCAAATGTGATTATAAAGATTGTGGCAAAATATTTGGTATTTCCGCACATTTAAAACAACAACGAAGTACTGTTCATTTGGATATTGTTTTCAAATAAAATTCAAAATTTAATGTAAATAATTGTGGCAAAACTTTTATTTTTTTAAAAAAAATTAATGTTAAATAAACATCAATTGACTTAATATATATATATATAATTAATACATATTGATTACCATTGATAAAAATAAAATCTTTACTTAGATTAATTGTATATATTATTTATGAACTTAATTTTTTTTGTATCAATATTTTAATATCAATTTTAATTAAACACATATATAAAAATTAAATAATTATTTTTTTAAATATCAATTCATTGAAAACATAACATACTATCGCACTGTTTGTTGAGCTGACCCGTGAACTTATATATCTATACCTGATTGAACCGACACTACTGTGAACCGTCTCATTGTTGGATAAATGTTATGTCAATTGTTACCCGAGTTTTACCCGATATTGTTGTCTATAAAAATAATAGATTATTTATACTAATTATATAATTATAATAATAAAACATACTAAATATATAATAATACTAATTATAGCAAATATTATAATTTTTTAGAAATAATTAATTACAAATATAGTTAATATATATTTCCTCATAATTTATACTAAATATATCAATAATAAGTTCAATATTATATTAATAGTAATTTAAATATAATTAGTATTAATCAATATTAAAGTTATTGTTGATACATTAAATAATATATAAATAAATAAAAACATTAATTAAATAAATAAAATATACAATTAATATAAGTAATGATAAAAGTTATTTCAACTTGTTTATTTAACATTAATTTATTAATAAAAAAAATTTTTGCCATAATTATTGATATTAAGTTTGATTTATCATTGAATTATCATTATGTTAAAGATATATGTATATTTATTTTCAATATACAACAAAATGTTTATATTGTAAATTGTTTTTTTTCTAAAAAATCTTTTCAATTATGATTGATATAAAAAAGTTTTACAACAAATATTGACATTAAATTTGAATTTGTTTAAAACTAATGGACAATATTTCGGTGTTGTTTTAAATGTGAGGAAACACAAAATGTTTTGCCGCAATCTTTATAATCACATTTGAATTTAGGTTCAATTAAATGATCCAATGATTGGTGTTGTCGTAAACAATGATTTGTTGTAAATGTTTTCAAACACTCTTTTACTGTACATTTGAACCGCTTTTCATTTAAATGTCGTTTTTTATGTAAATCTAATTCACGTTTTGTTGCAAATGTTTTATTACAATAATCGACATTACATTTGAATGGTTTATATTTTTGATGAATATTCATTATATGTAACTTTAAAAATGATTTACGATAATATTTTTTGCCGCAATCATTGATATCACAAACATATTGTTTATTAAAATGTTTGGCATTTCTGTGATTAAATAATCCGGTTTTACTAAAGAAAATTTTATTACAATTAGTATAATTGCAAAAATATTTAATATTTAAATGTTTAGTATTTTTATGCGATTGAAGACTGCCTTTATTAACAAATGTTTTATTGCAATCATTTAAATCACATTTGAATTTCTTATAACTTGAATGACTTAATTGATGTCTTTCTAAGTTATTAACAGTTTTTGTTTTAAACTGACATTTAGGCCAAAAGCACTTGTATTGCGTGTTGTAATCAACACGTGTGTTGTTATTGACATAATTTAGGTCACAATCGTTGATCATATAATCAGTAATTTTCAATGAATTACAATTATCTAATAAATTCAATTTGTTTTCATCACAATTAATCAATTCATATGTTTCACGCAATTTATCACTAATTTGTTTCAAATTATTTGATAACGATTTTAATTGAATTAATTGATTTAAATTCATATTGAAATGTATTGTTTGACTGTCTTAATTACTTGAAAAAATGGCGACCACTTTCATCGCACATATAATAATGTGTTTTGTCTTTTATATCCATACATTCAAAGCACATACCAAACAGTCAGTCAAATACCTGTTTTTAAGGAAATGGATATACATTTTCATATAAAATGATTTTTCATTAATCCTTAAACTTGTTTACAGTATATTACAGTTAAAATATTTAAAAATTAATAACTAATTAGTATCTTATAAAATCATATGTTATGAATCATAAATTATGATATTTAATATTTAAAAAAAATAGATATTTATTATTTACTAATTATAATACTTTATACTGCATGTATTATACGAATTTAATACCAAATAACTAAAAGTATATGTATATTAAAATATATTAATTATTTGTATGATTATTTTAAATTAAAAATAATATATGAAAAAAGAAATTTAAATTTAATTAGTTTTAATCAATATTGAACTTATTATTTATACATTTAGTGTCAATAATATGTTAAAAATCTATATTACCTGTATTAGTAATTAATTATTACTTAAAACTATATTTACTGTATTTATAATTATTATTTATGTATTATTAGTATAGTTAGTGTTTGTGTTTTTAATTAAAATTGATATTAAAATATCATAATATAATGATATATAAAAAATTAAGTAAATAAATACTTTTTTTTATTTTTTACAAAATGTGAATTAAATCCGAAAAATAATAATTGTAAATATTTAAAATCTATATTAATATTATATAATCATATAGGTATTAACAAATAGATAAACAATAGACAAACAAATAAAACTTTACATTTATTAAATTGTTTTTTCTAAAAAATCTTTTCAATTCTAATTGATATAAAAAAGTTTTGCCACAATTATTGACATTAAATTTTAATTTGTTTAAAACAAATGGACAATATTTCGGTGTTGTTTTAAATGTTTGTTAATACCAAATGTTTTGCCGCAATCTTTATAATCACATTTGAATTTTGGTTCAATTGAATGATCCAATGATAGGTGTTGTCGTAAACAATAATTTGTTGTAAATGTTTTCAAACACTCAATGACTGAACACTTGAATCGTTTTTTATTTAAATGTTGTTTTTTATGTAAATGTAATTCACATTTTGTTGCAAATGTTTTATCGCAATAATCGACATTACATTTAAATGGTTTGCATTTTACATGAATATTCATTATATGTAACTTTAGAAATGATTTACGAGAATATTTTTTGCCGCAATCATTGATATCACAGACATATTGTTTATTAAAATGTTTGGCATTTCTGTGATTAAATAATCCGGTTTTGCTAAAGAAAATTTTATTACAATTAGTATAATTGCAAAAATATTTAATATTTAAATGTTTAATATCTTTATGCAATTTAAGACCGTATTCAGTAACAAATGTTTGATTGCAATCATTAAAATCACATTTGAATTGCTTATAATTTGAATGACTTAATTGATGTCTTTGTAATTTATTAGTAGTTTTTGTTTTAAACCGACATTTAGGCCAAAAGCACTTGAATTGATTGTTATTATTTACACGTGTTTTGTAGTTATTGTCATAATTGAGGTCACAATCGTTGATCAGATAATAATCAGTAATTTTCAATGAATTACAATTATCTAATAAATTTAAGTTATTTTCATCACAATTAATCACTAATTTGTTGTAAACTATTTGCTAATGATTTCAATTGAATTAATTGATTTAAATTCATATTCAAAATATGTTGTTTGAATGATTTCTTCAATAATTACTTGAAAAATGGCGATAACTTTCACATATAAAGTGTTTTGTCTTTTATATCACTTATTCAAAGCACACACCAAACAAACAGTCAGTCAGTAAATACCTGTTTAGGGAAATGGATATACCTTTTCATATATATAAATATATCAATAACTTTATATTATTATTAATCCTTAAACCTGTTTATAGTATTAATGTAAAATGTAATGATATTTTAAATTGTCTAATTATAATCTATTATAATTATTTATAGATTAAAACATATATTGAATTTAAATAAAATTATTTGCTAAATTTATTTATAATTTAGTTACTAATATAATAATATTATAGTTTAATTATGAATACATATACATGTACTTTTAATTTTTTAAATATATTTATAATTTTTTTATGGTTATTTAAAATATGAAAAAATATTTAAAAAAAACTTATTTTAGGACATTTAATTTCAATAAT